AAAAAAAAAAAAAAAGTGTGAGTCCTATCCCCGGCCTTCAGAGTTTTTTTTTCTTTACAACAACTCCCGCGCGCCGCGACTTCCTACGTGCGGCCGAGATCCGGACCGGAATTGTATTTTTGACTACTTGTTTTCGTATTTTGGAGGTCGCAGCTGTGAATGGCGCGGATTCATGATCGGCCGAAGCCCTTTGCCCGTTTGAGTTTCGAAATCCCTTGCTACGGTAGCCCTGCTGGCATAATGGGTCTGATGGTACCTTAGTAGCCACATGGGTCACGGAATGAACCCTTTTGGCCAGTTTTTTTTCCTTCGTGCAGTCAAGAGGTCCACTTCTGTTCCAATTTGTGTACAGGCCAGCCCAGTGGAGCCCCTCCTTTGACAGGCCAGAGTACCACCAGTACTTCTGAAGCACTTTTCTCCTACTCTGGAAACGCCCTGCACCAAGCTGGTACTTCCGAGGCACTTTTCTCCGACCTGCACCAACGCTCTTTTTTTTTTTTTTTTTTTTTTTTTTTTTTTCAAGAAACACATTGATTACTCGTTAGAAAGAGGGGAGTTGGAGGGGAGGACGTGGCGGTTGGCACCTTCGGTGCTCCAAGTTAGCGTCACCTCGACGAGTGGGGTATCACCACGATACTCACACGTCAGCATAGTCACCTTGCTCGGCAATAACCGAGCAACCAACCCAGCGGGAAGGGAGGTATGACGTCGCGTGAGCCAGCCTGTTTGACCACGTGAAGATTGCGTCGTTTTTGGAGAATCGATACAGGCGAAATAGCCGTGTGGGCGTGCGCCAGACAGCCGCCCGCCATTGACGAGTGGAAGTAGGACGAGTCGAAGGACATGCAGTGACAAGCAGGGTAAGTAGACGAACCTCCACACAGCATGGATCAAGGTAATCGTCAGGAGCGACCAGAGGCGAACGAAGTTCTAGTATCCGAAGAAGACCGAATCAGGCTCCTCATCGCGAAGTGTTAGGAAGATGGCATCTTCCCAGAAAACTTGAAACATGGTGAATTCGTCATCGAAAACGGAGTCCGGATCTTCAAAGTAAACACTCAGATCGATAGGCTGACCACGGCGTGCCTTAAAGAGCGCACTGTGACGGTGATATTCCAGGGAGAGGCAAGAGATCTCCCGGTCAAAACCAGGGAAGATCTTATTCGGGCCTATGAGAACGGATGGTTTCGGAAGAAAACGTTTACTAGGGGATTTAAGAGAGGGAGGGTGCATGGCGAAGCCCCAAACGTGATGTCTCTTATGTTGCCAAGGCAAGAGAGATTGCTCAATGGTTGATAGCCAAGGCAGAAGATGCGTTGGTGATCAGAGGAGTGGAGTATCGCATGTTGTTCAAGCCATGGATGACCAGGGCTGAGCTGGCCGCGCAACGACGTCAAGAGGACGAGACGAAGTTCTGGGTCGTAGCCTTGAGGGTGCCGCTAAGAGCAATGTTCCATATTGGGGACCTGTTGGCACAAGCAATGGGGCCAATTATTCACCGCCATCCTCCGGAGCCTGATCCGTCACGACCAAAATTAATGAATCTAAAATTTGACCTCGCGAGAGAGGCGGAAGAGCGGTTCGAAGAGAAGCTCCCGATGAAGTTGGAAGATGGCGAGATGTATGAAGTCCAATTGGTGTGCAAAGCTACTCCGTGGTGTACTCGGTGTAGATGGTGGTTCCACACGGAGAACGAGGGTTGTCCAAGGGCAGAGGAAGTGGGGGACGAAGGTCGAGAAACTTCAAATAACAACAGCCAAAGACAGCAGAGAGGGGAGGTAATCTTCGACAGGAACATACGAGATGCCGCTAGAGATCCTCGAATCGACAATCCAGCAGGAGGCGAATCGAGCAGGGCAGGCGAAAGGAGACAAGTACGGGAACTACCACCTGCGGGTCGTCAGGAGGAACGGGTCCTCCACCAAGCAGGCGGTCAACCTCCCTGGATTCAACAACCTATGCAGGGGCAAGCAAATCTAGGAGGGTCAGCGTACCCAGGCCAGTTAGTGAATCAAGGAGCGGCTTTGGGTCCGGGGGGAACAGCGGTAGGAGGGAGTGATCCGTATTTAATGGCGACACAGTGGAACCAGATGTGGCAACAACCACAAGTGGGAGAGAACCTGCAAGGGGGTTGGATAAACTCTGGCTTGCCAGGGTACCAATTCCCCGTCCAGCGGCCGAGACCTATGCCCTGGAACTATGGAATGGGCGGCTCCTGGACTCCGGGGGCAGCCCCGATACGACCGGAAGTAAGAAGAGGGGATTGGGGTCAAGAAGAACGGGTGGTGGTAGTGGACGGATCAGAAGATCGAGTGTCGCGGCAAGTGCCAGGAGAACATCCTAGCTCATCTAACGCCCAGAATGAACTTGCACAGGGGGAGGACAGAGAATTGGAAGAAAAACGTACCTCGATTTCGGACGGGGTCCGAACTCATGATGCGGATGACCTGCAATTCGAGGAAAAACTGTTGCTTCCACTCATTTGTACCTTGCTGGGCCAAGAAGCCTTTATTCTGGGCCTGATCAATCGAGCAGGGCAAACGGTGTTGCCCTCAACATCATTCAGGGGAATTCCTTCCCCAGAGATGATTGAGGCGAAGGTTAGACAACTGTATGCTGATCGCTTCTGCTTCCGGTTATTCCCGGAGGAGATCATGCCTAAGAATATGGTGGAATCCCCAGGAGGTAAACGGTACAAATTCTACATCCCACTAATTGATGCTCGAATCCCAGTCCCACATTGGGCTGGACTTCCAGCGGTAGGTCTGACCTGCATGCCGCTACGCATTTTGCTGGGGGACTCGAACATGGAATTGGAAGATGTAGTTGCGAAACCAGGGTTAGCTGCGACATTTATGAGGGGCATGAACGAACGAATGCCATTGGACAAAAATCTGGAGTCTGGCTTCATTCAACAAGTGTTAGCTGAAGAGTGGCAACGAGCGAGTCCACAGGCAAGTCAGCACAAAACGCAGGCAGATGGAGGGCGGATCCAAGAAGTGACCGCAGACAACATCACCCCACATGGGGAGAATTAGAATAGGCACATGGAATGTGAAGGGCCTGGGGGACAGGGGAGGCAGACGGAAAGGTCGACGCCTGAAACAGTGGATTCACGACAAGAATATTGACATTGCTCTAGTGCAAGAAATGAAACTATCAGAGGCAAAGTTAGCGCAACTAACGGACGGATGGGACGGACCACAGCTATGGTCGCCAGCAAGGGGTTCGAAAGGGGGGACAACCATCCTAGTACATAGAAGGATAGAGGCAGAGCTTCTAGACTATGATGCAGACTTATGGGGGAAATGGGTATGGTTGAAACTTCGCATTGAAGGAATAGTGTTGGCTGTAGCTATGGTGTATGCCCCAAATGAACCGAGCGACAGACTCCAGTTCATTAGAGCACTGCCATACTGCCTACCGGGAGCTGAGCACATGGTCATAGGCGGAGATTGGAATCTTGTGAGTTGTCCAGGGCTAGATTCGGAAGCGGTAGACTCTCTGCAAAGAGACAGAGAAGCTTTCTTACAGTGGAAGGAGGCATGGGGTCTAGTGGATATCTTCATAGTGGTGCATCCAAGGGAACCAGGCTTCACATGGTTCGTCAGTGCGGCATCAGCAGCAGGAGCGAAGAGGAGACTTGACTTCTTCTTGACAACGGGAGCCTGCACACAGAACACACAAACGGTAAGCGAGAGTAATGCGGGCATGTCGGATCACAAACCAGTGGTCATGGAGATGAACTGGTCGCAGGGGAACCGGAGAGGGCCAGGGCACTTCAGACTGAACACGGCCAATCTGGAAGACACAGGCTGGGTGGACTGGACGGATAAACACTGGCGGACATGGCAACAAACCAGGGCTCATTTTGGCACCTTCGAAGACTGGATGGATACAGGGCTAAGAATTTATCTCTCACAAGTACGAAACCTTCTCAGTCATAGCGGCCTACAGAAGAAACAAGGAAGAAAGGTCAATGCTCAAGAGGATAGAAGAAGCAGAGGCGAACACGAATGGCCATCCGGTTTTGGAGTTGGCATGGGCGGAAGAGAGGACGCAGAGAATGAGAGAATGGGAGCAATTGCAGATTGAGAAGCATGCAAGGTGGGATACGATCCTAAGGGAGAAGGGAATAGTGGCGCGCGACAGAATGTCGAAGTAGTGTTTCCAGAAACTCTTACCGAAGCGCAATCTTACACCCATGAGGGAGCTGTAGCACCCCCACCTGCTAGGAATGGAAATGGCATAGTCAAATGAAGCTATGTGTGAATATGCGGCTGCCTACTTTAAAGACATTCTGGCCACAAGGAAATCCTTTTGGGACTGGGAAACGGACCTGACCAAGGAAAGCAGCTTTTGGGACACCTTTACACCACGTATTTCTGAGGAAGGGAGAAGGGATAAGGACCAGCTAGTTACCGCAGAAGAGTTCAGAGAAACAGTTAAGAGTATGGCTGCAGAGAAGGCCCCAGGCGATGACGGCCTTCCAGTAGAGTTCTACAGCGCTTGCTGGGAGACTCTAGAAAAAGATTTGTTGTAGTTGTACAATGGCATCTTAACTGGTCAACAACTGGGGAAGACAATGACAAAGGGCATCATCACGCTGCTATACAAAAAAGAGGACCGATCAGAGGTGCGAAACTGGCGGCCTATTTCACTCTTAAACGTGGTGTATAAGATACTTGCAAAGGCCTTAGCAAGAAGGTTAGGAAGATACCTACCGACTCTAGTGGGCAGAGACCAGGGGGCCTTCGTGCAAGGCCGCTCAATCTTCGATAATATTCGGACTGCTGTGTAGGCGCTAGAGGTTATTGAGGAAGAGAACATGAACGTCTCAGTACTCATGATCGACCTTGAAAAGGCCTATGATCGTGTGAACTGGACGTTCGTGATAACCACACTGAGAATCATAGGTTTCGGTGAACCATTCTGTGGTTGGGTGAAAGCATTGTATGCGTACGCGACAGCAGTGGTTCAGATTAATGGAGTCTGCTCACAAGAATTTACGCTGAGTAGATCCCTGAGACAGGGGTGTCCACTGGCACCGTTGTTGTTTGTCCTACAGCTAGAAGTCCTGTTGTGCGCGATAAGAGCTAATCCTAGGATACAAGGCCTGCAGATCACACAGGAAAGCGACTGCAGAGTCAAAGCCCCTAGCAGATGACTTGCTAGCCTTCTCTGAGAATTCAACAGACTCACTGGAGGAACTGAGGAAATGTTTGCAAGTATATGAGGAGTTGTCGGAGGCTGCTATTAATTGGAATAAATCGTCTTTTTTTCTCCCAAAGGACTTTGAGTTCCAGGCCAGATGGGGGATGAAAAGGGTTCCGGTTAACAGTGCAGAGAGATTCTTGGGGGTATTAGTTTCCCTAGAAGACTGTTCTTCAGCGCAGGAGCTGCTACTACAGGAGAGGGTGATCACCAGAATCCGCAGCTGGGGCCGTGCTCCCCACTTATCCCTAGTAGGAAGACCATTGGTTGTCACAGTGTCAGCGTTCTCCCTACTGTGGTTTGTGCTCAGAATGTGCAAGCTGTTAGGTGCAACGCTGAAGAAAATCAAAGCTGCGGCAAAAAGGTTCATCTGGAAGCCACAGGCGGAAGAAAATCAAGGACTCATCTCTAAGGTAGCATGGGAGACCCTATGCAAACCACGAGACGAAGGGGGCCTGGGGATAACCGACCCCAATTCCCAAAACTTGGCATTACTCTCCAGCTGGTTACTGAAGGTCGCTGAAATGCCAAAGCCACCAGATTGGTGTCTGCTGGCAGAAAGAATTTTACAGCAGGAATGAGAACTGTCCAGAACCTCAGACGTTTGGGTAGCCATCATGATGGACTCCTTTGTAAACAAACGAATCAAGTCCAAATTTTGGAGCAGCGTACTTGCAGCGTGGAAGAAAGTAAAACCGGACATACACGCAGAACCGAAGTCCAAAGAAGAGGTCAAAAGACAGTCGTTGTTTGATAACCCCCATATCAAGAATGTGGACAACAGACCCTTTTCGGCAACTGCCGCTCCAGACAACTTCGGGATGAAATGGACCCAGAGAGGTGTTGCTCAAATCGGAGACTTGTGGGACGAGCTCACTGGCCAATGGCATCCGCACAGCCACCTGAGAGGGAAGTTGAGGCAACTTCCACATCAAGAAGTAAGACTGAGATCGCTCATTGTCGCTATTCCGAACAGCTGGAAAATGTTGTTGGGCCCGCAGGGTGTAAACCCAACAGGCACATGGTTTAAACCAACAACAGAGGAGGACGATGCTAGCTTTTATAGACTAAGTAGTTGGCGAGTAGACGAACCGGGGAAGTGTGAGTTAGAGGAGTATAGACGGAATACAGCGCATGGCGATATCTTGGCTTTATATCAGACTATAAGGAGATGGGGTTTACAGGGCTTAGAGGAAATCCGCGTTCGGGCGGTGAGAATGCAGGGAAGGGGAGAGCCCTCAGTCTACAAGTTGATAGCGGGGGGGCGGGCGAAGAGACTGCTCAGAATCGACCCGTTGGAATGGGGCTGGCATGTGGGGACAGAAAGTATCATGGATCTCTCAAACCTGTCTGGGGATCTAGTGACCACTAAGTTGACAAAAGGAGAGGGTCTGAAGAGGAAAGTGATAAATCGTTGGGAGACAGCACAACCTTGTATACAACAACCGTCCGAGAGGGAGTTGAAGAGACTTTGGGAACAGCTGGCTCAGATCCCCTCGCAGAGATTCGCATCTCTCCTGTGGCTACACTCGCACCTATCAGTTCCTACAACAAGATGGCTGAGCAATAGGGGAATGAAAGTAAGGTTAGAGTGTGACAGATGTAACTGGCCAGTCGAAACCATGACCCACCTATGGTGGGTCTGTCCTCGTTCACAAAAATGGTGGACCTGGTGGTTCCGGCACTGGGCCAAAATGTTAGAACAAACTATGCGCAGGACGAGCGGTGGGTGCTACTAGGAACTCTCCCCGAAGGTGTCCCCAACCGCAAAGGTTGGGGGTACATCGCACAAGTATGCAGAGCAACATTGATGTGGGTAATATGGATGGACAGAAACGGGAAAAGGTTCCAGGGGCAGGGACTGGAAGAGAAACAATCAGAGAGGATGTTCAGAACGACCCTGAAGATGGAGATCAGGGCAGATTAGAGGAGAAAGGTGTTGAAAGGGAACTACGAATCAGGGATGTTGTGGTTTGCTGAAACATGGGCAAGACCGGGAGGACTAGCTACGATATCTAATAGGAAGCTCAAGACTTCGCCTTGGCTCGATTAGGAATAGGGGTAGGATGTAGACGGAAGAACCAGGCGCACTCGGTTCCAGTGGGCGGACACTGTAGACCGCAAAGGGTAGGGAGGGAGGAGAGTGTCAGGCTACCACATAAGGAACAAAGGTTCCTCTCGACCGGCATTAGGCCGAGCCACAGACTCGGACCGAAGGATAGGTCTGAACATAGTATTAAGTAGACAGGGTAGATAAAGGTAGAAGTAGAAGTGTTACTGAAGGACAGTTCGGAGGAGTTAGGTCCGGTAAGTAAGGGTAGAAGTTAGGATAGAAGGTAAAAACTCAGTGGAATGGAAGGTAGAGTAGAACTGGAATTTGAAAAGAGTGTTTTGATAAGCTAAACCGGCTGAAGCTGCCGGGATAACTCCGGGTGGAATTTTGAGGTCCCCGGCCTCAACCCAAATGTTGATTGCAATGAATTTGAATTAACAAAAAAAAAAAAAAAAAAAAAAAAAAA